AAAAATAGAGTTGTTTGATAACCTACCATATATGTGTCTCTTATACACATCTAGATGTGTATAAGAGACAGGAGAGAGAGAGAGAGAGAGAGAGAGAGAGAGAGAGAGAGGGAGGCAAGTGTGTGTGTATGTGTGTGTGTGTGTGTGTAGAGAGAGACAGACAGGGAGAGTCTCAGGATGAGAAGTAAGAGTGTGTGTGTGTGTGTGTGTGTGTGTGTGTGTGTGTGAGAGAGAGAGAGAGAGAGAGAGAGAGAGAGAGAGAGAGGGAGGGAGAGTAGAGTCAGACTGGTCTTCTGAACGCACATCCAATCATAAACCTTCAAAGACGGGGAAAAAAAAAAAAACAACAAGCACGAGAACCCGACAAGGGAGATGGTCAGCAAACTCCGACTTGGTCAGCAAACTCCGACTTTCTTTTCCATCCGAAAACGACAAGGGACATCGAAGTTCAACTTTTGTCCTGGTTATAAATAAATAATAAATAAATAATAAATAAATAAAAAACAAGAAAAAAAACGCTCTGAGGGCATAGTCACACTACGACTTTGCGCCTGCTCCAATACTCTCCACATGCATGAAAGACAAAAAAAAATATGGCGGTGTATCTTTCTATGTTTTCGCGGAGGATTCGTTTTCATTTTGCACATGTGTGTGGAGAGTAGAGGAGCGAGGCCCTTTTTCTGCTTTTGCGGTCAGCTGCATTCAGGCGTGAGAGTGCCCTCATCTCTTTTTTTTTTTTTTTCTTTTCCTGGGGGCTGAATGGTACCCAAACGCAACTGCAGATCAATCACCTGGGTCGAGGTCCCAATGTCCCAATGTACCAAAGTCTCAAGATCGTAAGGTCCCAAAGTCCCACTCATCCCGCTTTGTCGTTTCCCACCGTACATTTCGAAGATCCATGGCCACAAGTAAAGAATCGCCGTGAAGGCAAAGAAAAAAAAGGACCTTGCTCCTGGAGGTGCGGCTCGTCTGTTCTGATACGCAAATCCTTTCGATATCCCCTCTCTCTCTCAGGGCATACTCACAGGACTTTTTCCACTTCTCTGTGGACGCAATTGCTGTCAGATGCGTCCAGACTGGGTCTGAAAAGCGGTCATATACACCCAGAATCTGAAAAGCGGTCATATACATCCAGAAAGCCCCACTGCCGAGTATGCCCTCAGAAATACCCGTAGGGCCTGGCTGCACTACTCTCGAAATTTGCAAAACGAGAGTGAATCTTCCGCTAGAACAAGGAAAGATACATAGCCATGATTTTTGTCTTTTGTGCGTTTCCGGAGTAGTGGAGCGACGCCTGTAGTCTCGACTATCACTTAGGGCATGCTAACACGAGGACCAAAGGACCCTAAATCCCAAAATTTGAGTCAGTTTTTGGGGTCACACTGACGAGGCCCGCTACCCAAATGCCTCAAAAGGTGACCCTTTTGTCAGCGGCCTGCGGGGCCGCTGGAGGACCCTTTTTGAGGGGTGATCCTTTTTGAGACCACCTCCAGAGGTGGTCTCAAATTACCTTTCGTTTTTTTTTTTTTTTTTTTTTTTTTTTATTATTATTATTATTATTTTTTAACTCGATGGAATTTTATTTCGGTGCCCAAGGCTTACATCAACACAGCAGAGAATAAGGGTCTCGCTGCACTACTCTCCACTCTCCGAAATCGGAGAGTTTTTCACCTCTGCACTAACTATCCGGAAAAACCCTTGAAAAGAACTCGGATAGCTGTCAGAAACCACCATCAGAGTGCACTCTCCACGGTCGGAGAGTGCCCAGCCTGCAACCTCCGTTTTTCGGATGGACCTCAGCGCGACTCACCTAGATGCTCCGAATTCGGAGATTGTGCCTGGAGTCGGGGCGGACAAAATGCAGATGAAGCCAAATAGTCCAGTGCTGTCACCTCGTGTGCTAGTGTTCTCACGAATTGGAGTGTGGGACCACGGATAGTAAGTGCAGCGATGAGCACCAAACCGCGAATTCGGAGAGTTCAGCAACTCTCCGGCAACTCTCCGAATTTGCGGAGAGTGGAGAGTAGTGTACCGAGACCCTAAGATGAAAATAGCAGAGGGCAACTGGCCAGAAAACCAGAAAACAAAAACACTTCTCAACAAACAAATTCCTAATACTACCTAAATGCCGTAAAAACTCAAAGAAACGGCAAAACACCGAAAATCATGTCACGAAAAACCTATGGCGAGCACAACCACCAAGCCCCACAGCTTTTTTTTTTTTTTTTTTTTTTTTTTTTTTTTAACACCCCCTGGCGATAGTGGTGCTGATAAGAGCAGTCGCCACTACCCCAGGGAGGGGCTCCATCTATTGGTGGGGAGCATCACCTGCTGGAAAACGGGTCCAGCGTCCCATATACAGATTGAGTACAGAAAATCAATCAGAAAATAAGTAGGAGATTCCTGCCAGCATTGATTACCCTGAAACAGGGGATTGACTGTGCAGGTCGTCGAAATGAAACTTCTGAAAATAATTGGTGCAGGCAGACTTGCCTGCTTCGAACGCCCTGAGGTCCAGGGGCTTAACAACTGAGCAGAGTTTTTAGAGAATCAACTGAGAGAAAAGAGTCTGTTTAAGAACTGCTGGGAGTACGACCTCTTCACCCTTTTACCAGGCGCTGAGTTTCTGCTACTGACATCCAAGTCTTCTCCCTGAAGGCCGCGTCACCCTGTCCCAGACTGTGTTTCTGCTGCAGGAGCTGTTGTTTCCTSTGCTTGACAGGACTGGGGCCCGGGAAGAACCACTGGGGGGCACCAGTGGTACTTTCCGGGCTTCTAGCAGAACCTTTTCTCTGTCCTTCCATACCAGGCGCCGAGTTTCTGCTGTTGTCGTCCAAGTTTTCTCCCTGAAGGCCGCCTCACCCTGTACCACCCTGTACCAGCCTGTGTTTCTGCTGCAGGAGCTTTGTTAACTGTGTATGCCAAGACTAGGGCCCGGGAAGAACCTCTGGGGGGCACCAGTGGTACTTTCCGGTCTTCGAGCAGAACCCTTTCTCTGTCACTCTTTTGATGTCTTTTTATGCTGCACCGGATGAGGTCGGGAAGGGAGGGAAGGAAGGATTAACCGACGGGTTACAGGTATGTTTCCAGGGATTGCGGGTGGGGGGGGAAAGGGTCGGGGAATTCTTCTGCAGGTCTCATAGGGATACTGGGGTCTATTGTCAGCCAGTCCTTGAATCTGAGTCTGTAGTCCCTAGGCACTACCTCTCCCTAGCTGACCTTTCCCCCTCCCTCTTCATTCCAGGTCCTCGACCAGCACACCTCCGCCACCCACCCTTCTCTGTCACCACCTAGCCATTCTCTGGAAAACTGTAACAGGCGTGCCCGAATATCCTTGGGGCTGTGGAGGTTAGCAAGAGATTTCTTCATTGAGTTCCACCTCTGTGAGAGTTCCAATTGGGAGTGTGTCTTGAGTTGTTCCATCCTCTCCTCTCCTTCTACCTGAACTTGGTCCATAGTTAGCGTGCATCTTTGCCACCATAGGACCCATAGGATCGTTCTACGAGATAGATGAAACATGTTGGACACGAATATGTCATTTTGAAAGGGAGGATAATGGGCTGTTAGGATGGCATGCCAGTCCCATGGCCACACTTGCCCGGGAACTATTTGCTGCCACACCTTGTCCCACCACCTCCAAGTTAGTGTGGCTGCAGGGCATTGAAGGAATATGTGCTCAATGGTTTCTGGTCTTTTCCTGGTCGGAAAGCTCAACAGACACCGAGAGCACCAGGGAAGGGCCCGGCCTTGCTGTTCTAGTTGTGTGTGGTCAATCAACCAGTTGTTGGTTGGCAGGCACCGGTGCAAAATTTGTCATTGTAGCGATGTCATTTTTGCCGGTTTGCATTTGGTGTCGCTGAACCAGTGTATCGGGGTAAGGAGCTGTCTATTTACTTTAAGGTGCTTCTGCCATCGATCTATCACCTTGTCTTTTAGGCAGCGTTTTACTCTGAGCATCCGATACGTCGCTTTGACTGTTAGTCTAGAAAGTGTTTTGTGATTGGCATTTCGCGTGTTGTGTCGCACATCGGGGTTCCAACCCCACTCCTCCGGATCCAGGGGGAGGGCCTCTAGTTTTATTTCTGGGTAAAAGGCCCGCCTCTTCCCTCCTTCCTCCACTATCTTAACTTTGTGAAGCTTATCTTTCTGGATCCATACGAAGGGTCCGAGTTACCGACTAAGCCTCCACTCTTGTCCAAATTGTACCATTCCACCAGCGCCTCCCTTTGCCGGGTTAGATGAACCAGGCCCACCATGTTTGCCTTGCTTTCCATGGCCACCCAATCTCCGTCCCTCAGCACCTTGCCGTTGCGGAGGATGGACCACCACCCAATAGGGAGGGCTTCTGTTATTTCTGCCAGTGCAGCTTCGATATTATGGCAGTACCTTAAGGTTTCTCTCATCTTTTCCGGGCTCTTTCAATCTAGAGTCTCCTTGTCCCAGAGGTCGCCCACTCTCGTCACCCCGTTCTTTACCCATCCTTTCCATATGGTGTCCGAGCTGCAGAAGATCTGACTTTGTTCATTAGTAATCCATGTGTTACCAATGAGTGGTTGCCTCGCTACCTCCTCCCACCTATCCGGGTGAGGGCGGCTTGGTGGTGGAAGTTTCCTCCAGATTTTTAGAAGTCGGGGCCA